TCACAGTGTGAACCGGCCCTGAGGGAGCAATGATGAATTCGTTGTTTTGTTTTTAATTACTTTTTAATACGAAGTGACTCATCGAAATTTTAATTAGAAAACTATAATATTATCAAAGTTGCAGAGAACCTGCAAGATTGTTTTCTGATTGCGTGATTAATCAAGTACTTCTTACTTCCGGGAATTGAAAATGAAAACAGCTATATAGCTTGCATCTATGAATCAAACACTCTAATTTTTAAAGTCGATGAAAAATTGATAGGAAAGACATTTTTTTATCTTTAGGAATCGAAACAAAATACTACTCATATATGATGGATATATATTAAAAGAAAACGTTGTCAACAAAAGACTGTGTATCTCGTGCAATATCGTAATCTGCGCGCCGCGAGACACATTGTTAGAGACGTTGATTATGCAGACAGGTCTTGAAGTAGTTAATATGCTGTTTCAGAGCGACTTTAATAATATTTTTATCGAAAATGGTTCAGTTCAAAACTTCCAGCATCATTTATTAGCGCTACTTACGAGTAATCTAGTAACAAAAATGCAAAAATGAACTTTGTTTTTTGAAAAAGCTTTGAATTATTACAGTATTTAACGTTAAAAATGATTTTTTAAGGAATAGTCTAGTATCAGTAAAGAAACTCATATAGATAAAATAAAATAATAACATTATTCTTTATTTATCGACTGTTTAGTCTTCAGGGCCTCGATAAATAGCAAGTCCATTTTTTATGAACAATTGATAATCCGGCATTTTCGACACAAACCCGCCCAGCCAAAAATATGCCCCGCGATAGCTTTTGACATATTTTTGTTGAGTGTTTTTTTAAGGGAGCCGTAAAATCCATCTAGAGAATTCTGTTTTGCTTTCTTTATTTTAAGTCGCGTTCAGTATGTTTTCCCKTTTGACTGGCGCTGCTTTATCTTACAGCAGACATCTCCTTCCATACACATAATCATCACGAAAAGATGCTGACATTGCGAAATCATTTTGAAGTTTTTTTAGCACGTGCTTGTATCCCCAAATCTCTCAATTGAGATAAAATAAATAAATAMAATGTTAGTGAGAGCAAAATTGCTAGGACAAAAACATTGGATCTTATAACACACCATCTAAACAGCGTGAAACTTCAGTGTGGTACAAAACTTCCACTATTAATAGATCCATTCCAATATTTTAACAACTGTTAATGCTTTATTTCTCTATATTCTTAGCAGGACTAGAGTTATACTCCATATGTGGTATGATATCACAACTCGTGGGAAATTAGAGCCAAAATGTAGTGAGAGTAAAATGGCTCCCGTTACAACAACATTGGATCCAACCATCATCTCAACAGCGTGGAACTTCAGTAATAACAAAAAAAATACTACTAATAATAGATCCATGTCAACGTATTAACGTCCAATAATGCCATACTATTCTTTATTCCTTTTAGGAATAGAGTTATACCCCATGTGGGGTTTAACTCATGGGAAATAAGAGCCAATTATTAAAATATCTTAAACTAAAAGTCATCTTTCTTGATAACTGCTAGTAATTATATTAATTATTACGAGTCATTTCTAGTTTTGATATCTCTGGTACCGTACAATAATAGTTCATAATGTCCTATGACGTAAAGCATGGCGCAAAGAATGCATACTTACGTCAAAGAGACTTCACTAGCGATGCGTTAAGTTCTTACAGTGTATTTTCAAAATAAATATTATGATTAATAATTTATTAGATATATATCTACATATATATAAAATGATGAACAATTAAGCAAATGTCGGGGGGTGAAAACCCCTATACGACCAACCAGGTGGTTGTTTGGACACTGCTATAAATCAACACCTCCGATACCTCTACATACTATGCTTGACTCCAACTTCTATCTAAGCGAGCGAGTGCAGTCAGTTTGCATATTAATGAAAAACGTAATTTGTGTCTCATGTTATTATGGTRGGACAACTTGTTTTCATAATTGTCAGAAAATTAAAAAAAAAACGTCGAACTCAGTAAATTAAACTCGGAGGAAACTAAATTGGATTGAACAAATATGTGTTTGATATGGATATATTGAGAGGCCTGGTAAATCTCGGATAATTATATAAACATGTAGCACAACATGCAGCTTGGCGCATAGCAGAAGGAAAGAGCATGCAGAGATTGAATTACCAATCCCTGGTTCTATCCCAAAATGTTTGGCTCATTAATGTATTTCTGGTGTCTCCAATGTCCAGGCTAGGAGGGAATCGTACGAATGATAATCAGTCTTTAAAACAACATTAAAACTTATTGAATTTATGAAACAGATCGAGCGGATGGAAACCCAGTTTGGATGTAAATCCGGAAAAAAAAGCCGGAACCTCCATCGACGGTTATGTTAGAACTAGATGTGTAGTACATCAAGTTAGGATATTATTAATTAAAACCAACTTAGCCGCTATTTATAAAGATGTCAACGAGAAGGTTTTCTAATTAATGAATGAGTAGCCGTTTATACTGTTGGATTACTTCAAGCAAGACCTTCATTAGCATTTTTGCCGTAGACAAGAATAATATTTAGCCATGTAGGACACAAGGAAGAAGCTACAAAACTACTTAATCTCAAACTTAGGAATCTGCTCATGTCTCTTTATTTTCGTTGAGGATATTTGCACAATCAACATTAAATACAAATATTGATTTAGCTCAGTCCATGTAACGGCGATTTGTTCTCTAGCTTCCTGCTCAAACACAGGGGAACACACCGCCATGTATTGAGAAAGACACTGCCAAAGTGATGTTCTTTTGTTCAGTTCCACCCAAAAAAGAACATAAAATACCGTATAGATGTTTTCTGAACAAATCTGCTTTGTTAGCGAGTCCATGTATATTTTGTGCATGTTCTGTATGAATTTGCAGTGTGATCAMTCGTCTAAATGAAAATCAAGCATATATGGCTGAACCGATCAAATTGCTTTTGCCAACAACAGTTTTCATTCTGGAAAACATATTAATATTGATATTCTAGAACTGTCTCAGCACTATAATATGTTTTATTAAAAGAAAATGGCCAGCTGAGTTCGAAAACAAATTAATTGTATTTGCATTTTCAGGTTCAGTGTCGAAGGCATTGACAAGTGGCTSCTTGGAAACCTTCGACACCTCGTAGTGCAGTTTACCCAAGCATTTTGAACTAGATCACCAAGAATAAAAACGACAGCTTTACTATTTGTATACAGAACTCAATACTAAGACCTTTAATCTCTTAAATATATCYTAGTAAAATAACCTGGTTGCTAGAGTAAACTGGCGATAGATCAACATCCACACATGAAAATGCTAGTAGTATGTGCCTTCTTAAGGAAACAAAAACGCAATCRAGGATCGAAAATTGATGTTAGCGATTTACAAATCAAAAAATATATCTTCACACTTATCTAAATGCAGATTATATAATATGATGCAAGTATAATAAAAGTCTTCTTGGGAAAGCAAAGGTCCAACGGATTCTAACATAGTTAGTATGCGATCTTAACAAATTATTTTCGAAAGAACTGTTGACAAAAAGCTTCTGTGATATGTCATGGTCTGTTTGMGTCGAAACTTTACTAAATGAATGAATTATTTAAGGTTCTATTACAAAGAAAAGCCCTTTCTTTTCTTGACAATGAGCCACCAAACAACAGCACATAAGTCTTGTATCTCAATCGATGTCCCATGTGTAAACAAAATACACACGAGTCGCACTAACTCACGAACGATGTTTAGAACGCTCCAGAAATGAACCGATCATCAGAAGGCGACGAAAGTAATTTTATACTAAGGACTGAGACTTTTCTATTGGTTTAACCACAGTTATAACTCGAAGACATGTATCATTATCTTCTGTTAAGTACCATAGGACATAAAAGAAATTATAACGGACCAACGACATCAATACAGGAGATACGAACTCAAGAGTACATGTTTTTCTCTAGCAAACTTCATGATCAGACGACTCACCTGAATGGCAGCGGTATACCAAAGCCGCTAGAATAGTCCACAGTAGAACAARTTTTCTTTTAAWCTTCATGATCCTAAACGCTCGATGTRTTTAAGTTTCATAGTTTTGACATATCGAAGTGGTCTTTATTCTCGGCGCACTCGATTCTCGTGGTCAACTTGTGCTGCGAATGAATGAATAAAAAGCATCCAATATTGTAATAATTATGACTGAGTTGCCTCAGGGGATGGTGTACTGAAGTACAACGCGAAGGGCTTTYGAAATTCCGGGAACGAAAGGCGGTCGATTTGTATATTGAGCTGGGACAAAATCATTAAGATATATATGACACTCAATATCAGAAATATACTCAATACAACGTTATAACTTACAACAGATTTGCATGGAAGAACATTTTTCAGTTGCTGTATTCGTCAAATATAAAAGCTATTCAAAAACAATGGAAACTTTCATGATAAAAATTGGAATTCTTGCCAATAGTATGTTTTTCTATATTAATATGTGTATACTAAATACGACATTATGCSTACTTACAAAACCATGGCTACGAATRATGGAAACATTTCGCAACTCTTCATTGTTGATTAAGGTCCGAGAACTATGAAATTCAATTCACMGTCCATCAAACATTTTCCGTAAAAAAATAACAYATATGTATTAACTGTTTTGGCTAAACCGGGCACAACGTCGCCAAGTTTTTGAGCTGCCGGCAAGRTGGAAAACCGCTGAACTGTGATGTCATCGTTATATATAATATAASCTGAATGTTTTAAACATGATATGGTAATTAATGACGAAAATCTTGAATGGTGATCGAGGTTTCTTAGCAAATTATTAAATTTCGTGAGAGTTTACATAAAACAGCCAATGAATAGCAAGAAATTTTCAATAACCATCTTAGTCTATCTGCAGGAGCTGAGAAATTAGAAAGGACCCAAACAAAGACACTCTTTAGGTGATGGTAAATTCTGACGAGTTGTCTCGCAAATTTATAAACAAACGATTCTTATTTTATAAGGATGTGTAAAATAAAAGTTTCAAATCAATGAGAAATAGAAGTTAAAGTATTGGAAAATGTGCCAAAGTTTCCGTTCCAATTCCGATGTGAAGTATTTCTTTTTTCTCTTGTTTACATGAATTTTAAAATTCATTCTTTTGTTATCTTATTTCAGCAGGTTATTAAGRTATGCACTTTGCATACTAACGGCAAATATTCACTTAAAATACAACACGAAGTCACTGCTAAGTGGATCAGTATTAAAAGCTYAGAGCATATTTTCTTAAAGTATTAACATTTTCGATCCTAAAATGTGAAGAAGAGCGTCTCAATACAACATACTTTTCAACGATGCTATGCAATATATGCTATCCTAGGATAATTGTATATTCAGCATATAAATAAATATTAAAAGCAACTTCCATACCTCATATCAGTCTTGTACAGCTCTGACATTTGCAAAAATCTCAGTTAAATCTTCGATGGTTTGTATCTCAATTCAAGCATRTTATAGTTTCGGTCTTGTAAGTTTACTCAACAAAGGTGTCTGYGGCTCATAAATTTTTCAAAGCAAAAACGCTGCCAAACTTTACTATTTATGTATTCGTCTTTCATTGGCTTGGGAAATGATACTGTACTTGCTTTTATTTAATAGTACAATAGGCCGTTACATTATATGTAACTTAACATATATTCTTTCTTTTTTTAAAAACTACAAATCTCCAACAGATCTAACTAATTTAACTCGTTATGAACGGCGGWGAATTACGTCTGCTCTCAATGGTATATCGCCAGCTTTGCCTAAGATCTCTTCAGGATATTTGCTGAAGAGAGGTCAAAATTTGTATTAGTTGTATTGTTATTTTTTTCTGTCCAAATCTGCTGATGGTTGGAGGCAGGTACGGTTTTACAGAAGAAAACAATCTATGATTGTTTGATAGAATCAGATCTCAGCATATTAATAAATCCAATAAGGGAAAAAGGRATACCATTTTTAGAAATGATCTTATGATTTGAGTCATTCTCAACCTAGCAGGACAAGGGCATGAGTAAGCATCATTTAAAAACATAAGAACAAATTGCCTTTTGATAATAATGCTGTGATGTTGGTAGCCCGATGTAGTTTAGTCATATAGAACTTGGATGATTACAAAGACGGTGAAGGCGGATGCAGATTTTTTTAAGAGGTGGGAGCTTCCGTTCCTTAATTGATTGGATGCTCAAAAAGAAATGTTTTTTCTCGAAATATGCCTAGTTCATTATCGAATATTTAAACTCCAAGACAGGAATTACAAAAAATAAAATGAAAATAACAAAGAAAAGAGCTTTGATAATATACTTTTTTTTTATAATTTACAAACTCAAACAAACAAATTTGAAAGGGTTAAGCCCTTTGGTTAGAGTTCCCTTTGATTTACCAATAGAAGGGACTTCTAAAACTCCGTGTGTTTTATCTGCGGCTGTTGTTTTGCTTTAAAGGCCCAGTGTGCACCATTATGCTTTGGGGGGMCGCGAGAGCCGGGAGGCGGTCGTTTTCAGTCTACTYAAAGTCTATAAATTGTACTGTGTGTTTCCAATCTTTTACCACCTCACTTTTCTAAKCACTTAAACGATAATATAAGAGTTTCAACCATCTGAAATTCGTTTTATGGTGATATTTGGATACTAGAAGCATTTTGGTATAAATCATAATAATAMCAGAGGCGCGCAAAGCATAATGGTGCAATCTGGGCCTTTAATTTACGTCATTTTGTTAGTTTGTTCATTTCTCAATAAACCAACCAGTATTTAGGGCTGTCGCGCACAGTTATTGAGCAGGRAACTTGTCTCCAAACCGGTGTGCAAAAGTATGCCTTACGTATTTTTTACAGCAAGCTTTAAAATTAAGAGAAGAGACTAGATAGGCGTTAATATTCTAAAGAGTTTCAGAAATTTTTATCATTGCTGTGGCTTTCARCATCAAGAAAGCTAAAYCGGGAGCTTCCAAATTAAAAAGAAACCAGCCGTAAAGGCAAAGATGAGTTCATTAGAAGTCTTTCCTCCAGTAGCCGCCTTGTTCCTTGTGTCTGAGACTAATGTGCAGGCGCTTTGCGTAGACTGAACGGAGGCGTTGCCAAGAACTTCTACCTCTACTCGGGTTGTTGCATTAGAACNGCTTTTTGAAGAAATGCGGCGACATTAAAAACAATCGTAAAAACCTAGCACCGGATTTAAGAAATAAAATCTATATGCGACCTTTCTGGGTATTTTTCATGAGAAAATTCGAAAATCCAATCACGTATTTTTGCCCTTGAAGAGTTGAAGTTGAGCATTAAAATAGTATGGCGATCCATGTTTTCACCACAGTTCGCTCCAAAAAACTGGGCCTCGCGTATAACTTATTTTGTTAATAAAAAACCTAGCACCGGATTTAAGAAATAAAATGTATGTGTGACATTGCTGTGTATTTTTCGTGAGAAAATTTAAAAATCAAATTACGTATTTTCGCCTTTGAAGAGTTGGCGTTGCTTCGCATCCGTTTGCGTTTCGGGATTCCTGTCCCGACGATGAACGGATACAAAGGAGACTACTTCTGTAGGCACAAGCAAAAAAAATCAAACTTGAATTTTTCAAATTATTGCTTTCTTATTATATGTTGAAAATGTACTCAAAACTATGCAGTTTTGTGTTAATTCAATATTTGAAAAATTTATATCAGTCAGTGAACGTAACTGTGATATTATATGTACATGTACTTTCCTTTCTAGAGGTGACTTAATATTAATTAACTCCATTGTATTATATTTCATGAAGTAAATAAATAAATTACATGCATATATACATGCATGCATGGATGCATGAGTGAGCCTGGACAATAATCCAAGCAAATGTCACCCGATGTATGGCAATAAGTTCCATATGCTTTGGTAGGCAAAGCATTCTGGTAGTTGTAATATATGTGACACTATAATGCAAATTGCCTATTGCAAACGTTGTCGTAGAATTTGGAAATTTAGGAACATAAGACTTTGTGTTCATCAATAGTCTSCTTCACGGATACCTGCGCCATCTTGAAAGGTAGCCGTGCCTTTGCACCGAAGCGAGACGACCGTTGAGCGTGCAATGATAGATACCTGTGAATAATTGTCTATAGGTGTGAAAGAAGGTTTCTATCATTGCACGCTCAACGGTTGTCTCGCTTCGATGACATGGCACGGCTACCTTTCAAGATGGCGCAGGTAACCGTGAAGGAGACTATTGTGYTTGGACGGAAGGTGTTCGGAAAGGATACCTTGCCGACTTCTGAGAACTTATGGATAAGAAAGAAGATGATTAACAGAGGACGCTAATAGAAAGAAGGATATTAGGGAGATAGAGAAGGGCATAAATAAGCAAAATAGACACGCCCAATAAAATGCACAATTGMGACCAAAAAAAKATGGAAAGTGGATYCATCGTACTCTATCATGTGAKCTGCATWTYMCATCATGCTTTATCACGAAAAATGGCGTCGCTTGRCATGCTGTATATTCATATTTGAGATTTGGAATTTACCCGAATAGTAAGTGTATAGCTTCTGATTCTCTCAGCGTCAATACTCCCATTTACTGTTATTAGACCAGTGTCTGGATTAATTGCAAACGATCCAAAGGAGTTACCTAGAAAATTGAACATATAGAAGATTTTGCATAATTCGTATCTCTAAGYACCTTGCAATATTCTGTGTAATATATAACATCTGACCGGGAGGCCTTTATGGGCATAAAGGTTTGACACGAGTATTTTACATTGCTTATTAAATTCCAACATTTTAAAGCATATTTCGAAAAAAACTTCAAGATAAAATGTCATTTGTTTAGAGAAAATCGAAGTTAAAGTCGGATGCAAATCAGCAAATCAGGGCAATTCTCTTGCTCAGATAAAGATGCGGTCACGGCAAAGATTTTCCATTGTGTTTATCTTATGAATTATTAATGAATTTGATAATTGTTATATAATCAACTGCAATCAAGAAAAATAAAATAACTGTTTTATTGACTTCCAATATATAGATATCTTGAATGTGTTTATTCACCAGTGAAAACAACATCTTTTCGAATGTAAAAACGAAAAAACAAATGAGTTAATAAGTTTCATCAAATTTTGATCCAGTAGAGAGTAGCTACAAATTCATGAGTTTTCAAATCTTGTGTGCACGTATGTTATAATTATCTCAATAATGAAGGCGATATAAAGCTTTAGAAGATAAAGACAAAAAAAACAAATCCTCTTACCTCCAGTTATTTCGTATCTGATGGCATTGTTTACCCCTCTATCGCCATCGATTGCAGTGACCTTMACTAATGAAGTACCCTGTAGRAAATAAAAAAAGATATCAAAACATATATCACATTGTTTAAATTCACGACTTGGACACTTGYTGTCCGATTTTAGATCCCCTGAGAGTAAACTCTTAATTTTTTACCCATGTGTATCCATATATCTTTGCGAGTGTTGATTGAATGAAAAAGCAATATCGAACCCTAAATTATATGGCCATGGTATCCGAAATAGACCATATGCATTGTGAATGCTTTCCGCTTTCCTCCTATGTTGACTTATTCTTGTTCTTGTTGTTCTTCTTGTTCTTGTTGTTCTTGTTGTTCTTGTTGTTCTTGTTGTTCTTGTTGTTCTTGTTGTTCTTGT